ATATTTTCATGCAAAATCTGTCACAAAAAGAGGTTGCACATTTAAATTCAGGTGTTGTTATGGCAACGTCAGTGGCCAGACAGCCACATTTACTGCTGCAAATACGTTCAAACATGCTGTTGACACGTAAAGCAGTGGCAACTATGCCACCATTTCAGATTACTTTTTCTCAGAAATACTGTCACATAACATCCATATATATATTTCAGTGCTAGGTTGATGCTTAGCTAAGCTAACTATGAAACACTTTAACTGACAGGACTCAGGAATCAGGATCAATTGTGTACTTACTGTAAGGTAGCTTCTAGCTTCATGTCGAACACAGACAGTAAGTCAACATTTCCCAGAGAGCTTTCTTTGAAATCACCAGGTAACGCTAAAAAACACAACATTTAGATTGTATGACAAAGTGTTTATTTAATATATCTGGCTAGCTATAGCTACTTGCTAACGGTTTAGCTTACCCGCGCGATTCAAAGTAACGTCAACGTAGCTATAATGTATGCTTTGCTTACATGTTCGCATAACTTGTAAGTTTACTGACAGGTACATACCTTGTTCACCTGGCTCAGGTGGTGGCTCTGGGGTTGTTGTGTGAGCCACCACTTGAGAATTGCCGTCTTTTTATTAAAGAAATGTCTAATCTTCAGAATCTCCCGCGTCCGGGGCTGACAGTTTAAAGTTGAAACATTGTCACAGAGGAGAGGTACGTACCTGTCAGCCAATAAAACACGTTTATTTCCATGCAACTCTCTGATTGGTCTGGTGGCGTCGTCTTGCCTCTGTGTTGCATTCACTGAACATGGGAAATTACATTTCTACCGTCCGTCCTATAGGTAAAGTAGGTTAATGTATTATATTATTGAGGGAGAATTTGTCCGGGGCTAAAGAAAAAACATCCGGGGCTAAAGCCCCGGATGCCTACCCCAGGCGACGCCCCTGGTGTGGACGGTCGGAGCATATACTGCGTTAGCTTAGCCGATCTCCATTCAGAACACACGCATTTTAAAAGGGTTTTCCGCCTGCCGTCTATCTGCAGACTTGTCAAAGCATTAATTCATGGTTTTTACTAACCGGTATCAGTATGTTGTTACTTCGGCATCATTTTGAAACGTGTATTACAATTAAATCACGGTAAAATATGTTCATTGTGTTGTAGTTGCCAGCGATTCTCTCTCTAGTTTAGCATATTCAGCCCGGTTGTTCGCCCGGAAAGAACCTCGATTTTGGAGAGCCAGAAAACTGTGAAAAAGTGGAAACGCAACCAAAAACGGTCCGGGCACGGCACGGCACACTTAAACATGACAGTGACATCATCTAATCAGAGCACACACACACACACACATACACATACACACACACACACACACACACACACACAACACACACACACACACACACACCACACACACACACACACACACACACACACACACACACACACACACACACACACACACACACAACACACACACACACACACACACACACACACATACCATGTATACATCACTTCAGGTGACATTACATTGACTTACATGCATTTCCTGGAGACTTATCCTAACCTTAACCATAACCAACACATGCCTAACCCTAACCCTAACCCTTACCCTTAACCTTACCCTAACCCTAACCCTTACCCTTAACCTAACCAAGTCTTCACCCTAAAATTAATGATTCCCCTCATGGGGACCTCCATTTTGTCCCCATAAGGGCGGCTAGTCCCCACGTGACTATGTAAACAGATTTAGGTCCCCACAAGTATAGTAATGCTAGGCCACACACACACACACACACACACACACACACACGTTTTTATGGGTGAACCTCCCATTGATTGATGTCAGACATCTCACTTAGTTTTTCTACACCTCACACTCTCCAAAACCACACACCCCTTCAAAAGAAAAGCCCTATAAATGTAATGCTACTTGAACTTATACTATACGTACATCTGATATTTAACTCCCCCTTTCAGCTAACCATTCAACTATTAAATTATTCAGCTATTTCAAGACATTGAGGCTATACATTTAGTTGTTTATACCTTTTTTAAACATTTTCTTTTGAATATTAAGCTTCTTCACTATTTTTCCTACTCTTCCAGTTTAACATTTCACTTTCAAGTTTCCAACAAAGTCATTGTATTTGAGCTGGAACCATTTTGATTCAAATCATTTCACTTTTCTGCAACACACTGACTGTAGCTAAAAGCAGCTACCATTCAGCTAATAACATATTCAGCTTTTTCTGCATTTTCAGCAGGAAATGCATTTTCTAGTTTCATTTGCTCTGCTGAGGCAGCTGGAGGTGGAGATGTGTTCCAGAGAGGACAGGGGGCAGCCGATGACTTTATAATGGCCAGTGCTGAGGGTGCGGATGGAGGAGCAGTAGGGGCCTTTATTCACTTTACATTGGGGTTGTTTCCGTGTTGCCGACACGTAAATGTAACAAAGTTAGTGACTCCACCACGCAATGTGGTGTTAAGGAGTCGTGGTGGAGTCACGCAATCTGGTGAGATCAGGTTGTACTGAAACTAATGACACGAATGCATGAGTTAAATAAACTCTTAATCTCCTATACTTCACATATCTACACATTTGTAGTGAAAAGTGAGTAAGGGCTACTCTGACTAATGTGCTTATGTGAAGCCGACAATTGAGTGGCCCGACCAAGCAAGGAGGCAGAGGCAGAACGTCCACAAATATACCGCCACCAACTGGACTGGAGTGTGGACAAGAGACTATGCAGAAAACAATAAAGAAAAGAAACAAAACAAAGAACCAAAACTCTAGATTATTTTAAATGTATCAATTTCTCTTAGAAACGTAATAATCTCACAATATATATTGCCTGATGTTTTCCCTAACAGCCCTGATACAATCTTGCTGTTCCCGTGAGCACAGTCACCACAAGGATCTCACACACACTAATCAACCAACAAGACACAGGTGAGGGGGGAGGAGACAACACAGGGCACCAGGTGAACACAATCAGCAACAACAGACAAGACGGGAGGGGGAACACAAACATTATAACTGAAGAGAATAACACGGTGGTAACTTGTACAATTAATGCAACTTTACATCATGACCTTTACACGCTAAAACATATCATCTGCACACAATGACTAATCTCAACCGCTGTCAATCTTACACAAACAAACACTTCCGGCGCTCTCGCTATCACTCCCCTCTCTTTCCAGCTGGTGGAGCCGAGGACCCGACCAGACGACATTCCAATTTAATACGGCTTAGTCATTTAATAAATACTACATCAATAAATAGTATAACAATGTACAAATATGCAATGTTTAACTGTACTGTGAAAATCCCGCTAATAAAGTGCAAACTGTTCACTAAAGTGCTGCGTGACATTTGTCCTGTGCAAACTCACGTGCAAGATTACCCGCCCGAAGCCGTCAGTCCACAGTGAGTTACCTTCGTCACAGCTTAGTAAAAGTTATTTGAAAGAAAAATGTATGTAATAGTATCCTGCTTATACTGTGTTAACAGAAATTGCTCCTTCAACAGTGTTTTTATTTGTCAGATAGTTTATAGATTTGTTTAACTTCACGGTCATCTCTATATTTTTCTTACTCTCTAATGCTGCTTTATTTTCTATTTCTATTTTGAGATTATATTTTAGAATTGTTTATTTCTACTCTTTTAATTTGTTATCATGTGCAATGATACAAAAAAGAAATCCCAAATTGGGATTAAGAAAGTCAACTTTATTGTCAATCTTTCAGTTTGTGTAAAGACAGAGAGATCGAAATACCGTTTCCCACAATCCCAAATACAAAATTACAAATATATATACAAATATATATAAAATATGTATATCCTATATCAACAGAAACATTTATACACATGCACTCATTAAGATAAAAGCACAACAATCAATTTATACAAAATAAGAGTCACTTCAATATCTTTGGGAATGTATATTAGTGCAAAATCTTATTTTATAGTTTAGTTGCCTGGTTTCTCCCTTAATTTGTTATCATGTGCAATAACTTGTTTTGTTTTATGATCGCGCAACAAAGAAAATGACCAAATTGGGATAAAGAAATTACATTTTATTTTGTAGTTTAGCTACCTGGTTTTCTCCCTCCCTTTCAGGTTGTCGCCCACCCGGAGAGGAACTTCTCTGCCTGGATTGGCGGCTCCATCTTGGCGTCTCTCTCCACTTTCCATGAGAGATGGATCACCAAGCAGGAATACGATGAGTCCGGCGCCCCCATTGTTCACCGCAAGTGCCCATAGAAAGTCGGGGAGGAACAATGCTTTTTTTCAGTCGTCAAAATCAACCTCAATATTGAAGTGCAATTGTCGGCTTTTCTTCTCTTCCCACTGTCAGTGAACTATAAGGCAAGGCAAGTTATTTATATAGCACCTTTTAACACAAGGCAATGCAAAGTGCTTTACAAAAATGAAAGACATTAAGAAATACAAATATGTGCAGTATTGGTATGATCAAGAAAGAAAGAACATTTAAACAAAGACATACGGACTGTCTTACTGCATCTTTTTTAATTTTCTTAGTAGAAATGGGGTTCCCATCATTTTAACTTGGGGTTAATTACACTTTAAATATGAAGAATGACTTCTTATTAATAGCTTTTAGTTCATATAACATTTTTAAAATAACAAAGATTAAAAAATATAATAATAAAACAATATATAATAATAGCAATAATAACAAACACAAAAATAACAATAATAAAATACAATTTAAAAAATAATAATAATACAAAATAAATAATTAATAATAATAAAATAATCGTAAATACAAATAATATAATAATAATAATGAAATAATATCAAAATATTTATCTAAAAAAATGTTTTGATTACAATAATTGTATAATTCAGTGGGTGTAATTCCTCACACGGCCTATAGGGGCAACAAAGAGCAAATCCCAACCCACACATGCAAACAAACTTCGACTCAGAGGTGAGATTTATGCTTTATCTGCAGCATTTGTACGCTATATTTCTACTTTTCTAACAGAAAACACGTCAAAGATGAAGAACTACTTCTCATGTATAGCTTTATTTGAGTAAATATCACACCTTTTATCGGTTAAAGAGCAGCTCAACGCTACTTCCGTGTTGATTTGTATGGGATCGGGGCCAAAATATCAAATTCATTTATAAAACCAACATTTTTTTAACCAGAACTTGATTTATAAATACTTTCTGAAATGTGATATATCTCAGTCAATGTAATGCAGGTTCTAATAATAGTACAAAGACAAGTTCTACAGCTGAATATCAATATTTTAACCCTCTGTTCATTTGGATGTTGCTGTTTAGTAGATGTATTATTTAGCTTTAATATCATTTAGGTGGGAATAATAACCATCCACAAAATGTATCGTCTTGCAGCTTTAATAACCGGTATTTTGTCGGTAAACACACCAGCTGCTGAATATCTAAAAAGAAGAATTTGTAGCTAAACATATGAAAGTATGGATGTATAAAGAGAAGCTCAATTGTACATTCAGAGAGTACCCGTATGTGGGCCCATAGAGCATGCGCAGTTCAGTTTGCCCTTAAGCCCCGCCTCCGATCTCCTTCACTCTTGTCAGTCAAATGAATGGAGAGAGAAAATACCTCTGGATTCAGCTTTCAGCGCATTTTAGAACTTTTAAAAATACAATGATTTAAATAAGGGCCATAAAAGAGTTCGTCCTGGGTAGTTTATTTATCGACAAAAAAAGTATGCGCTGATTTACAGACGTTTCTTTCCCCCCATGTAAGTCAATGGGGAAAAAGCCAGTTTGGGCCAAAATGACTTCACGGAAGTTGTAGTACCACAGTTTGGCCACTACGCCCATTCATAAAATTGGCTTCAACAACCGGCGCACTTCCCGTAGCTTGCTGATAGCTAGCTTAGGTTAGCTATATCACGCTGAATGCTACCGTATTTACAGTCACGAGACACGACACTATACTTTATATCCTTATTAACTCCGTGTTTGTATCAGTATCTACGTTATTAAATGTACGCTATTCACAGGGGATTTTATCGTGCTAACATCTACAGCTAGGAGGCTAGAAACATGTTAGCTGGCTGCTAGCTTTGTTATGCTAACGTGTTATGCTAGGTTAGCTTATCTTGTTTTGCTATGAAGTATTTCAGACACAGATTTCAATTGAATGTACATGAACATTTCAGGTACTTGTACTTTACTTGAGCGTTTTCATTTCAGGCTATTTTATACTTGTTTTGTACTACTACATAGTTGGTAAATATTCTACTTATTTCTCCACTTTTAGGTTTACTAAATATGATCCACACATACCTATTTGTCCTTTAATATTACCCACAACAGCTGCTTTACACAACTGTGATTTATATATAATCCAATGCTAATATGTGTCTGTAGTATCTTTCTTTTTATTTCTGTAGCTAAGTGAGACTGTATTGTGTGTGTAGTAATATTGTTAACTCGTGTAATGCGTGACAACAATGCTGCAAATAATGTCCTAATTTGGGGTAAATAAAGTATCTATCCATCTAAAACTTACTTGAGCCCAATTGGGAAATTCACCCAGCAACATATGTAGTAATAGATATAGAAAAAGACTCAATACATACAAAAGAAGATGCCACAGCTTTTCCAGCTTTACCAACATACCATCAATAGTTATTATCCAGTATTTTAATACATATTATTCTGAAATGGTTAACACTGAATAATGTCTACTTTTGATACTATATACCTTTTCTATTTCTACACTATGGTACTTTTAATCATGTCAATCACTTTTTTTAACGACCTATTTTGACCAATTACTGCACTTAAGTACAACTTTCAGGCACTTTTACTTTACTACAAGTGAGTTTAAGTACTTTTATTGAAGATCTGAATACTTTTTCCAACGCTGCTTAAACTTTGATTCTTGTTCACAGGGATGTGACTCGATGGAAGAGACGAGATAATGCTATAGAGTCGAGACGCTTTCAAGTAAGTAAGTATGCATCAGAATCAAGTTTAATGCCAGCTACGTTTACACATACAGAGATTTTGCTTTGGTATCTGGTGGTGCGAACATAACCAACCTAAAAAATAAGTTTCAAAGTAGGTAAAAAAGCAAATGTATAAGTATTATTAAAAGCAAGTATTTTTAAGAAACAATTTAGCATTCAAAAAGGATGCTAAAGACAAGTATATACACCAGATTTAAATATAACTATACAAATAACCATAACAGCATGACTTCCTCAGGCCCCGGCCACACGGAGACGAAACGGGTTGTATCCGCTACAGTTCTCTTTCGTATAGACGGTTCGTCCACACGAGGCCGACACGGAAACGCGGATAACGATAACGGCTCCCAAGGTGGGTAGATCTGCGGACGCAACGCTCTGGGGGGCCAAACGGCTATGTGTGTACGTCCTATACGCCATAGCCCCGCCTCTCCCCACCTCTCCTGCTCAGCCCCGCGTCACCCGCGTCATTGCTGATGTGTTTCGGCAAAAACAATGGCGGATCACAGGGTTGCTTTCGTGCTCCAGACGCTACTGACCATGATACAGATGTTAGTGCAACATCTACAGCTCCTCTACCACCACCATCAGCAACAAGTGGACATGGAGAACAACATGAACTACATGAACTACATGCTGCTAAATCCACCTCGGGGAATAAACAGAAGGGCAACCAGGAGAAGGTTTTGGATAAGACCGGGCAGAACCAGCAGTTGGTGGGACAATTTTGTCGATGGCGTTGTCGTGGATGATGAATGGAGGGAGAACTTTCGCATGTCCAGAGCCTCTGTCGTCGCCCTGACTGAAGAACTGCGCCCATATATCGAAAGGCAAACAACAAACATGAGGGCACCAATTGATCCACTGAAAAGGGTTGCGTTAATACTTTATTACCTGAGCGATGGGGGAAGGCTACGGAAGACTGCTAACGCCTTCGGCGTTTCGCGCCAGGCTGTGTCCATCATTATTAGGCAGACATGCAGAGCGATCTCCATCCACCTGGGTCCAAAATACATCAAGCTGCCTTTTACTGAGCCCGAGACCGCGGATCTGGTTGAGGGCTTCGATCGTGCTCATCGCATGCCACAATGTTTAGGAGCAGTGGACGGAACCCACATCGAAATCAAGCAGCCATCTACCAACCCCACTGACTACATCAACAGGAAAGGCACACATTCCCTTAATGTACAGGCCGCCTGTGATTACAAGTACCGATTCATGGATGTCGTGGTAAAGTGGCCTGGGAGTGTGCATGATGCACAGGTCTTTGCTAATTCAAAGCTAAACATGTACTTAAAGACTGGAAAGATCCCTGCTCTGAGAAAACAGATTGTGGACGACGAGGAGGCCATACCAATTTATCTTCTTGGTGATCCTGCCTACCCGCTGCTGCCGTACCTGATGAAGGAATATGCAACCGGTGGCGCCACAGCTAAGGAACAGTACTTTGGGCTATCTTTGTGTAGGGCACGTATGGTCATTGAGTGTGCTTTTGGTCGCCTCAAGGCCAGATTTGCGGCACTTAGAAGGCCTATGGACACAAACTTGGATGACCTGCCCCATGTCATTTACTCCTGCTTTGTCCTCCACAATTTTTGTGAGGTCCATAAGGAGGCTGTGGATGATCAGTCTGTGTTGGGAACAATTCAAGGTGAAAAGGACTTACAGCCTCCCACACAGTGCAACCACCATCTCACTGACTGTGATGAGGGGGAGGGAAAGAGAGTGAGGAGAGTGCTTACGGCGTACATTGACCCTTAGGACTACATGAAAAACACTGTTATTTCTTTTGGAAGGTTTTTATTAAGATCTGATAAACATTCTTTGTTACATTCCCTGTCCTCACTGTGCAGCTCCTTCAGCGACAGGCTGCTGCACCCCCGCTGTTAAATAGCAACCAACTGTGTGCTATATGTGCAAAATATATATATGTTGTTAATAACTGTGTAATATATACCTGGCTGCTAAATCCTCAGAACTGTTACAGGATGTGTATTTTCTAAATTGTGTAACTTTTTATTTTGTATTAGATCATCATTTTTTTTTACTTAGTACTTTTTAATGCATGTAACATAAAGCAAAACAAATATGTGATTCTCCAATGTTCAAAGTGTGAAATTAAAAAAATAAAATTGGCTGCAACCACTTCCAGACTTTCTTTGAACATAAAGTGCAACAAATAACAAATGTGCAAACGCAGTATCATATATATATATATTTATACTTTCCCAGAAGGACCCACCGTGACACGGGTGTCACATGAACTTTAAATGTTCTGGAAAGTTCCTTATACAGCTTTAGCCTTTATTTGATCTCATGAAGTCCCTCAGTGACACACTCTGAACAGTCTGGTGGGTCATGGTCCAGGTCATGTGACTTTGTGTTCCCATGACAACATGTCCAAGATGTCCATGCGCGATGCTAACACGTGTGACCGAACTAGCAACATTTCAAAAGCTTTTTTGTTTGTTGCTAAAGGTAAAATTCAAGCCATTTAAGAATGTCCTTTATTACATTTAACCTGTTGATAAAGTTGATATGGAACAAATGAGACAAACATCGCTGTGACACTGACCGGGACTTTAATCCTAAACTTTCACAGTAAACCCAAAGTGGCATATATGCACAATTATAAATATGACTATGATCTGCTCAGTTAACTTAGCTGATTCAATTATATTTAGTTAATATATTCTTCAATTCAAAGAATGTTCAAACCAAAAAATCATCCTCATTCATGAAGTTATATAAAAGAGTTATTTTACCATTAACGCCCAATGGGACATATGTGTCACTTTTCAGATATTTGACACTAGGGGGGGTTACTTGTCAGAAATGTGGTCTATTTAGTCTAAAGTCCAATACCATTACATTCAACTTGCAGCATTTTAAACAAATGAGACCTTTCTTAAATGTCAATGCTGCAAAGTCACAGCTCCACTGTGTGATTCCATCCCACATTGAATACTGTTTGACAAACTGGTCGTTTGCTTGAGCCACAAACCTGAAACCCAGAGAGCAGCTGTTCAAGAGAGCTATCCAGGTGTTTGACAGAAAGCCACATTCACACCACCTCTGTACCATCCTGGAGAAACACCATTTATTGAGTTTTGACCATTTTAAGTCTTTTAAAATATGTGCTTTTTTTATAAATCCCTTAGGGGACTTCATCCACAGAAAACACACTGGACGCTGCACTAGGTCAGAAACCAGTGGAGACTGTGAGGTCCATCGCAGACGGACCTCTTTTGGACAAAATGTCCTCTCCGTTAAAGGCAGCTCTTTGTGGAACAGCCTCCCAACTGAGACACGGGATTGTCCCACTCTCAATAGCTTCAAAGGTCAACTCAGAGAATGGTTGAGAAACAAACGGACGTGTAATCACCGCTAAATGCACTTTAACACAGGGGTATCTCCTCTTACACTTTAGGTAGCTCTTGTATCTTCTCTTGCACTTTACATGTCGTTGCTATATTGTATAACCATGTCATAAATACTTGTGTATGCTGGCCCTTGCTCTTTTGCAGGTTTGTAAAATGTAATATTCTTAAATGTTTTATGTGAGGGACTGCGGATGGAAATGAGCTCAAAGCTAAATCTGGCACTGTTACGCTTGACACATTTTAATGTATTAAGTGTTCATTACCGAGCATTGTCCCTTCCAAACAAAACAATATTGTGTTACAACGCAAACACCTGAAGCTCACTGCTTTATCAGTCAACTTGGCCCGTAAGGAGGCTGTGGATGATCACTGTGTGTTGGGAACGATGCAAGGTGAAAAGGACACAGTGCCAGAGATATCTCACTGACTGTGATGAGGGAGAGGGAGGAGAGTGCTTGCGGAGTACTTTGACCCTTACATGAAAGACAAGACTGTTATTTATTTTGCAAGGTTTTTTATTAAGAACATTCTGTCAGGATTATTATGTCGTGTCACGTGTCTATGTCTAGGTGTGGGTGTTTTTCCGTTCTCCTTGTCATGTTTTCCTCCCTGTATATTGTCTGGTCTCTTTTCCCTGTGTTTTCATGTCTGTCGTTAGTTTCCCTGGGGTGTCTAGTTTCCTGATTGTTTTCACCTGTCACTCCTTGTGTGTCTCCTGTGCTCATCAGTGTCAGCCCCGCCCCTGATTGTTCCCACCTGTGTCTAGTTACCCTGTGTTTAAATTCCCCTGTCTCCCAGTATCAGTTCGTATTGTCTCTTGTCATGGTCAGGTCTATGCTCTTTTGTGCTCAAGAATAGTTTTGTTCCTCACTACGTGAGCGATTTTCCTTTTGGTCTCATTTTTTGTCATCTCATCCTGAGATTAGTTAGTGACCTTTTTTTGTTCATCGTGTTTTTTTTTGGAAAAATAAAGTATCTTACCAATACTTTACCTCTGTCTCCCTGTCTGCAATTGGGTCCAACATCCTAAGTGCCTGAGATTGTAACAGAACGAACTGACCATTATGGACCCAGCAGACTCAGCCCTTTTGAGGCTACAGGCGGAACGTCTTGGATACTCTCTGGAGTCCTTTTTTTATACGTGGAAAGGCGCCTCATCTAGACGGGGTAGAGAGGCTGCGTTGAAGGAGGCACGTCAGGAGGTTGCTCGCAAGCCCTGGCTCTGGAGCTTGTTGCCCGAGTGGCTTAGGGTTTTCTCACGTAGCCCTGAGTGCCAGTCTTCATGTTCTGACCCTTTCTTGGGGTCTGGTCTGGCGTTTGGAGGTCCACGAAGCTTCCAAAAGACTCCTAAGAGACGCAAGGCCAGGGTTCCAGCCCCAGTTCCGGCTCCAGAACCGGCCTACAAGGCCATGGATCCGTGCACCAGTACCGGCCCACGCAGCCATGCTTCCATACTCCATTACCTGGCTTACACAGCCAGGGTCCAGGCTTCTGCTCCGCCCACAACAGCCATGGTTCCGGTTCCAGTGCCGGACCCAGCAGCCATGGTTCCGTGCTCCAGTACCATCCCACATAGCCATGGTACCGTGCTCCAGTACCATCCCACACAGCCATGGTACCGTGCTCCAGTACCATCCCACATAGCCATGGTACCGTGCTCCAGTACCATCCCACATAGCCATGGTACCCGTGCTCCAGTACCATCCCACA